GGGTTGGTAGGACCCTTCTCAGGCATGAAGGTCTAGTCAGAGACATATTAGACGCAGAAACAGGAGTTAGGAGGGGTAGAGGTAGACCTAGATTAGAATTACTCTTCGCAAATAGTTAAGGATGTGGGCTGTTCTAGTTTTAGGGAAATGCGAAGTTTAGCTCAGGATAGGAAAGAGTGGAGGTACGTGTCCAACCAGTCTTAGAACTGACGACCTTATGATGAAGATGACGATAAAAAAGATTTATTTCAATGTTTATACCTTTGAAGCACCATAAACGAAACTTATCTCATTAGTTTTTAACAAATCACGATTTTCAAGAAATTTCAACAGTTTATAAATCTATAAGGATACGTAACTTTATGTTAAACAGTTTTTTGTATTTCTTTTCCGTTACTGACTAATCAGGAACCACAAAAAAATACCGAAAAGCATGAAAAATCTGTCAATCAATTTCTAATAAATCAAGTTATTCATATTTAATAAGTACAACATTTTAGTAATCAAAAATAAAAGTCATCTATTACGTAAAAAAAACTAATCTCACTTTTTTTATTTTTTTTACTACGATTACTAATGTCAACAAAAATATAAATTTATTCAATATCTATGTATATGCACATACTATTTAACATTAAATCAAATCAGTTTTACTTACTGGACAAAACTGCTGCCAGCAGATATCCTCTGTTCTTGAGCCCTTCCAACATCGTCGCTTATTTTCTATACACGGTCCCACAGGCAACTGATCAAATTGAATTATGTAAATCAAATTAAGTCTTTATTGTTTCTGTCTGTTAATTCAACGAGCCATTGAAGTATTTCACGATTACATCTGTGAAAAATTTTTAGATAGCATATCAGGAAAATTTGAAATGAAACAAAAAAGTTTAATAACTCAATTTCATTATATTCAAATTAATTTAACTTTTGAATTTGATAATTGCATATACAAATTCAATTTTTTTGTGGATTGACGCTCCACGTACCGTACATCAGAGCCTTTATTTTCATTTGGTAAATCCTTAGTAATCAAAAGCAAAAGTCACTTTTTATATAACATTGTGCTGGTAGGTATTCAAATCATCAGTACTTATCGTATTTTTAAATGAAATACATTTATTTATCTATCTAATAGACTGGAGAAAACACCCTAAAACAATATAAATATACATTTTTTTTTGGTAAATTAAATTAGGATGCATACAACTGCAACTCCATAATATTTTAGGTTCTTAATTGAATTATTAATATGTATATATATCGATACTTTTACTTGGTAGTTGTATGCAGGGGTGGGAAAATGTAACATATTTTGTATTTACAATACTTTGTATGACACAAACATGAGTAAATTTTACTGATTTCTCTTTAAAAGAAAGGTTGCAGTTATGTATTCAGAAACATAATACATTATTATAAAAACATCGCTTATTTTACTTGAAGAGAAAATGGAAATTTTCATTATAAACTATTGGTAAAGTTTTATAAACTTATATCACTTAAACGCCCTCTATGTGAACATAAAGCTCGTCAAAAAAAGCAATCTCGCAAATAGTTGCTAAAAAAAGTCTTTGAATCAATTAAGTGCCGATACGATTTCATTTTATCGATATTTCTTGATTAATTACACATTTCCTATTGTCTGTCTGTCACCTCCCAGAGACGCATTAATCTTACATACTTTAAAACAATCGGCACCGAAAGCATTTATTCGTATTTATATAGAGTTGACTAAAACATATATTGTGGTTATGACTTAATTAACTTTTGAGAGACTCTCACCGCAGGTACCTATAAAATTTGATTGACAAGGAAGCCTTTTTTGACAAATTTCAAGTCCTTATTCCAAAAATGTTTTTAAATAAACCAAGAAGTACATATAGATACATACATCTTGATCGTCATTTTAGCTTTTTTCTAAAGAAAGATCGCAAATTGTAGACATTTCCTTTATTTCGTCGGGTAAATGATTCTGACGTACTTCCACGCCATCATCAAAACTCCCCACTCCTTCCATTTGAATTTGTTTAGCTTATTGAACATTGTTTGTATCCCAAGTGACATTTTTAATAGTTGAATAAGAACTACTTCACCTTTCAGATGACATTAGATGAGTATTAGATACCAGGCAAGCTCAGCTTCGAACAGTAGCTAACAAGAAACTTCTGAGAATTACAAAAAAAAACTTGGATATTTCATTCCCACTAGCCAGTAATACACGTGGGCGGGCTGTCCTTTCGGACTAGGCCGGAATGTAGAGCGAAAGGCCCTTTTCAGCCTCCTTTCAGGAATCATGGGAATGGGTGGGTGGTGGTGGTTGAAGTGAGAAAAATGAAACGGACCAAATGAAGACAGAAGAGAGTGAAAGATTATCTATGGAATATTACTGTCCCAGAATTTGCCTAAGTGATCCTAGGAAACCTCAGAAAAACTTGGCCCAAGCTATACGGACCGGCGTCCTCCCGAATGCTAAGCAATTGTCTAAACCGTTAGATCATGCCACTCAGTGAGAATTAGATCATGTTACTATTATTTACCTTCACAGAAAATCATTAGTGAAATTTACCTGTAGATACATTTGTAGAAAACAATGCATACCTAGATATACAAATCATCATTATCATCATCATAGGGTCATCAGTCCTAAGACTGGTTGGACACGTACCTCCACTCTTTCCTATCCTGAGCTAAACTTCGCATTTCCCTAAAACTAGAACAGCCCACATCTAAGATAGGTCTACCTCTGCACCTCCTAACTCCTATTTCTGCCTCTAATATGTCTCTGACTAGACCTTCATGCCTAAGAAGGTGTCCTAGCAACCTATCTCGCCTATTTTTTATTGTCTTCCATAGAGTCCTCTGTTCTCCTATTCTTTCTAATACCTCTTCATTTCTAATCTTTTCTATCCTCGTTATCCTCATCATTCGCCTATAACACCACATTTCGAAGACTTCTAACCTTTTCTTTTCCGCCGCGCCCACTGTCCATGTTTCGCACCCGTACAACGCCGCGCTCCAAACATACACTTAATAATTAGTTTCTTGTTTTTATTGTCATTTACATTTCATAATCTCGTTGTTGGAATTTACCTGTACGTATTTTAAATACGTCTTAAGTACAATTTGAATAAAAAATTTCTCTCAAACAATAATTTTACCTAAGACGGACCATAACGCTCGCTGTTGAGATACCACCCAAATTACTCTTTTACTTAGAACATCAAAGTGTATTGTAAATAGGGTTTCTGAGGCATGAGAATTCTCGACCAGGATTTCTCTGGTAGCTCGAGAAATTCTGAAATTTATAATAAAACACGATGCTATTTTCAAATATTTACTTTAATACAAATTAGACCGATAAATGAGATCAAATGGTAAAGTTTTAATCATCATAAATTGTACTTATTAAACTTAGCTTCTTTATAATTATTGGGTTCCTACCAGTTTCCAAATGTATAACAGTTTAATTAAATAAAAAGTAATTAGTAAAATTAAATCACCAAAATTACAAGTACATATTTAGATAATTAAAAAAAATTCATTAACATTACGTAAAAAAAA